TGAGAGAGGGGAGCCAGGGCAGGGGTGGTAGCCTGGCTTCAGTGCAAACACTGGGTGGGCTGGAGTCTCCAGACAGGGAGCCCAGAGAGGTGGTCTGCTTTTTTCAGGGAGCATAGATTGTTCTCTGGTCCAAGCAACGGAAAGAAGGATGCGAAGAGAGTCTTGGGAGGTTGTGGGCATCTAAAGAAGTCAGGAGCCCAGGAGGAATCCTTGATTCTTCCCTGGAAAAAGGTGACCAAAGTCCTAGTTCAAGAAAAAGGTCTGGGGCTCACCTGCCGAGAACCACGTATGAGCTCAGATCTGGATGCAGGCATGGTAGGAAGCACCATGGTGCTGGGGCGTTGGTTCATTTTTGCTACCAACTTGATGCTTGACCTTAGTAAGGCTCCACCCATTCCCGGGCCTCAGTCTCTTCCTGGCAGAAGATACATGTACTAGATGACAAGCACCGTTCCCTTTTAGTGAAGTTTCTAGTCCCCAGAGCTCCTTTTATTAGCATTGCAGCCATGTCTATATTCATGAGAGGGAATGGTGTAAGAGGTGAACAGTCTCTGTTCTGTCCCCATCAGAGGTTTTCTCAAGCGGACATACCTGCCTTCCACATCTGGATTGGCACTTTCCTGTGCTCCTAACCACCATTCACCGTATTTTACAGGTTTGACTCATGCCTTGTTTGGGTTTGGCATTGCTGCCGTCAAGGTCCAAGGCTGATCACCATGACAGGCAGTAATTAACAGGGCCCAGATCCTCGACAGTAACCATGTAGTCAAAAAACCTGCACTTCTTGTTCCTTTTCAGTTGCCTTCCCTAGTGCTGTTGCAGGGACAGCCAGGACCTTGCCATAGGTTTGCTGTGTCTGCTACTGGACTTCCGCACAGTAAGTCAAGCCAGGGAGTCTGCCGGTATTACAGGACCTGTAGTTTACCCGGGAGCGCTCCAGCTGATGGTTTCTCAACACTCAGTTTCCACATGTGTGTCTCTCGCCCATGTGTCGCTGTGAAATTTGCTTTCCTTTGTCCCTGCTACTGACAGCTGGTAAAAGTGTACTGAGAAACGCAGAATGCTGTCTTTATAGGTAGCAACCAACGTGTGAAAGCAGTAGTAATAAGACAAAGCTTGTCCTCAAAGGGAATGTGATCCCAGCTGTGCAGGACATCCCGCCCATCACTCCATACATTCTGGAATATGCTAGAGGGACACAGCAGGTATTCTAGAAAAAAGTCACCTCTGAACAGAACCCTAGATCACTGAAGCCCCGCTTTCAGAGTCCCCATGACAGACAGCTATCCCAGCTGGCTTCTCTGCCAGACCCAGAGGGCTGTATGGGTTTCCCACAAGGACCTGCTGGAGAGACAACACCACACTCACCACTCATGTTCGGTTTCTTCTGCCTTTCCTGGGGCTCCTGTGGGAATGACAGAGATGGTGTGGGGAGACAGGCGCCGAGGGTTGCCTTACCATTTATAGGAGCCTCTCCTACACACCCCAATTAGGATTCTAATGAGGTGGGCGAGGCACCAGGTCATTCCTGTGGTGCCTGTAAACGTTTCACTTACAACATACCCGTCACCCAATGGAAGGTCATCATGCTTATGCAAGACTGGCTTGGAAAGAAGAAAGGAGATGAAAGAAAGTCGAATGGTTTGCTCTTATGATTCTTTATTTCATTCACAAAGGTGAGTGACTTCCTGGACCACAGTTTTTAGGAAACGTGTCTGGAGCTGATGCAAGGAAGTCTTGTGTGTTAAGGACATGTCTAGAACCTAGCCACGTCTGTTCTCACTGTGCGCGTATATTATTAGGGCTGTCTGCTTCCACATGCCACACACGGTTCATGTGCCCAGGGTTGAGTCCGATAGAAAGAACATGGCGAGGCTGAGAGCTTGTGGTTCCATTGCTGTCTGGGCCTGGGTCAGCCTTCAGATTTGAAGCTTGGAAGCTTCGTTTAGGTGTGAGTATACTCATACCCATGCTCTCACTGCATAGGGATGAAGGATTAATTCAACATGCTTATTCAAGTGGAAAGTGAATATACGTGTCTCACCGTGAACTAAACCAAAGGTCTTTTGGAATTAGATGGCAGTTAGAATCAGATTAGGGACCAGAAAGAGCCACTGACTTGCCAGTTCTGCCACATGCACTCTCTAGGACTGTAGGAGGAGTCATTGGTCTGCTTTTGGGCCCCAGCTCATACATCAATTTTAAAACAGAGATTAAGCGCTGGAGGGATGGCTTAATGGTTAAGAGCTTTTGCTGTTCTTCCAGAAGACCAGAGTTTTGTTCCCATCACCCACATCAAATGGCTCGAAACCACCTCCAGACGTAGCTGGCTGTGTTGGGGCACAGCTGTAATCACAGTTCTCGAGAAGCTGAGGCAGGAGGATCATAAGTAATAGACTAGCTTGGGGAAAGGTGTTTGGGAGGAGTAAAGCTCATTGTGGCTGTCAGCGCAAAGAGCCTGGGTTCAATTCCTAGCAATGAAAGAAAGAAAGGAAGAAAGAAAGGAAGGAAGGAAGGAAGAGAGGAAGGAAGGGAGGAAGGAAGGAAGGAGGAAGAAAGAAGGGAAGGAAGAAGAAAGTATCGAGGGTTTAAGATACGGCAGTTACACATGCCCTGTCCTTTAACTATCTTCTTAATATGGCTCCACCCTTAGACTGGAGGAACAGGCTGTATATTATTAATCTTCTCCTCAAAACCTAGATGAGTACTTGACACATGGTGAGAGCACATACCAGTTTCAATAAAAATATATTTTGATTAGTGTATGTGCCATGCACATGTGTGCATGCATGTATGTTCATGCACATGAGGAGACCAGAAAACAACTTGGGCACCTGCTCTCCCCTTCTGCCTTGCTGCCACTCCAGGCTATCTGGCCCTCCAGGTTTTGGGGCAATTCTCTGGCCTCTGCCTCCCATCTCCCTGGGATTGCTGCTATGTGTCTCCATGTCCAGCCTTTCATGTGAGTTCCAAAGATCTAACTGTAGGACTGAGACCCACATTTAAGTGACTCCAGATTTGGTTTGATCAGCCTCTGAGGTCACTGCCTAGATGATGAGGGAGCTTGCTTGGCCTTTTTAGGGTTCTGATGGTTTTTGGAGTGGTACTTGGCACCTATTCCTGGTAGACGGCCAAGAAGAGAGCAGAGGTTTCAGAGCTATTTGGCAAAGAGCCTTGAACCCCATGTGGAGGTTTGAGGGTGGTCTTGGCCCCTGCTGTGGCACCAGCTGTGACTCTGGGGCAGGCCTTGCTTACTCAGGATCCATCCTACCAGGAGTCCCGAAAGTTGCTGTGTGTTCAAATATGATGAACAGATGTAAATCACTCTATGCACTCTTGAGTGTGGTGCAGTCAAGGAAGAGTTTACTTATTAGTACTAGGATTTTTGTTGACCGTGAGAACTAGGAGGAACTGGACTCCAGGTATTCCTTTGAATAATAGGTCAAAGGAATCAGCGGAGATGACAAACAGGTGGCGTTGCCCTTGGGGAAGAGCCTGAGGTCATGCAGACCTGGGTCCATATTCTAGTTTTGTCAAGTCACTTCACCATTCAGAGCTTCCATTTCCTTGTCTGTAAAACTGAGGCAGAATTGTTGGGAGAATTAAAGGAGCCATAAAGAGCTTAATTAGCATGTCCTCTGGCACAGCCCAGTGCAAGAAGCCAGTGGTGATATTATTAGAATTATTATTATCCTTAAAGAATTGCACAGTTCCGTTTTCCACAAGTTTTTTAAGGGAGCCCACAAGTGTCTATTCTGATGTCTGGCCATGAGGTCTTCCCTTGGACCAGTCTTTACTGCAGTGTGGTAAATGAATACAGACACTGGACTTGGAGACCAAGTAAATCCAGGCTCCAGAGCTTTCCTGCTGTATGGCCTTGCAGCCTGACCACACATCCTGTCAAGCTGCAGTGAAACCCAGAACCACCATTTAGTCACTTCTAGGAATCTTCCCCGAGACATTGTTTGGACCAGTTTCCCTTGTTCACTTTGCTGTTGTCCACCTAGGCTGGGCAGCAGCAGGTCAACTCACTGGCAGCAGGCTGCAGCAGGGAGTCTGCCTGAACCTACTGGTAGCTGCTGGGAGATTGCATCATGGCCACTGCCACAGCCCCAACCTGCAGGCAAACTATAATTGCTAGCTGTGTCACAATTTCAGCTAAATGATTTTCAATTCAATTCAACTCATCCTGTGAGTCAGCCAGCTATACACAGGATGAAATTCCTGCTTGCCCACACTCGGCAGCTCAGACACCAGGTTAGATGGAGCACGCAAATGGAGGCTTTTAAAGACAGGCTCATTGATCATTTGCCTTTTTTCTCCCTCTAATTAAGGGATTTAGGGTGCTGAAGATTTCACAACACACAAAGCACAGGCTCTGAGAAGTTGTCCAGCCCAGATACATCTTCAACACAAACCCCACATCTAAGCCTCAGGGGATAACACAGTGGACAGCAAGACTTGAACAGTCAGAAGACCTGGACACGGGCTGTGTATCTTCTCTATCAGATAGGGAGCTGCACCCATGAAATCTCAGTAATATAGCTGCCCAAACAAGACCTGAACCACGACAGCATCAGTCAACATGCTGACATGGATGGAGGAACTTTCACGGGTTTACCCCTAGAAGAGCTACAGGCAATTTATGACTGATGAGAGGGAGGATGAGTTTTCCCCAGGGATGTGTCTCCTAATTGATTATCCAATACAGGTGGTCAAACCTAAACATACACATACACATACACATGCGCACACACACACACACACACACACACTGAATAAATATATAAATTCAACTTGCTGAGTTTATTTAGTTCTGTCTCTGTCTCTGTCTCTGTCTCTGTCTCTGTCTCTGTCTCTCTCTCTCTCTCTCTGTGTGTGTGTGTGTGTGTGTGTAAATACAAGAATTTGAAAGGGAGCACAAGGTGGGGGCATAGGAGGAGAGGAAGGGGAGGAATGATATAAATACAATATACATTTATAAAATTTTTGAAAAGAAATTAAGAAAGTGAAAAATAATTTTTTAATTATTTCACACAGAGTTTGGCTACTTCCCTGATGGGACTTGGTGCTGGGACTGACGGTGCCTCTATTGCCGATAGCCCCGTGAGTTCCCTGTGGGTCTGTTTCCACATCTGTGAGTACTCAGTACAGAAAGAGCAGTCGTTCACAAGTCTTGGGGATGATGTGGGGTGATTAGTTTCCCTTCCTGTGATGAGGTAAGAACAGAGTGAGAACGTCAGGACGAGTGACTTCCCCTATGGCTGCTGTGGCTATCACCAGGGTCTGCACCTGTTCTGCCACCATGTCACTATGGTGGGGGGTCCTGAAAATCAAGGAAAAGCAAAACAGCAAGTGACTGCCCAAGCAGATCTGTGATCTCTAGTGAATGTGACCCTCCACCACCTCTCTCCCTCAGCCTCTTCCTCCCTCTCCCTCCGAATTAGAATCCCACCCTGTGGTTTAAAATAGCCAGTGAAGTCATACATTACCATGTATGGGAGACAAAGACGCAAAATCCAAAAGGCTCCGTCTAGTGAGCCTTTGGGGCTTGGTTCTTTGAAACAGAAGTTTGGATGAATCTGCTAGCACAAATAAAAACTGTTTTCCTGAAGAAGCTTGGGGCCCCAACTTATTGATCGGAATCCCGTGTTGGAAGCTGAAACAGACACAGATTAAAGTTGTCCTGCTAACACTTCATGGTCCAAGTTATGGTCAAATAGTGCCCATTTGAACAATGGTAATAGATATCACATGAAGCCACTGGATTTAACCTTTATTTAAGTTGCCTAACCAACTAAATTGAGATGAGATTTGTATAAGGTCTGTGGAGATCAGGTCATTACACAGCATAAACCTGTCTTCTTTCTTAAAAATCTAAAGCATGTGGATTCTTTTCTTTTGTTACTGTTTTTAAATATTATTTAGTATGCTTCCTTGTAAGATTGAGCATTGACAAACAACAACAAAAAGGAGCTGTCTGGCCTAGATGGTCCCCCAGCACACTGCCCTGCCCTGCTGTACATCTCATGACAGCTCTAGTCCTGGTCCTCACATCTCTGCAAGCAGTCTATGTGACGTCTCTGGAGGGGTTCCAGGGCTGTCCCTTAGGAGCTGGCTCACTGAGGGCAGGTATCTATACCAGCCCTGATCCTTCGCAGTGTGTACGATGAGCTGCTGCTGCCGCTGCCCTGGAGTTAAAGTGCATTGAAAGGAACAGAAATTTGTCCTGAGTTATACTGAGATTTGTCTCCTCAGAGCAGTGGTTCTCAACCTTCCTAATGCTGCCACCCTTTAATACAGTTCCTCATGTTGTGGTGACCCCAAGAATAAAATTACTGTAGTTTGCTACTTCCTAACTGTAATTTTGCTACTGATATAAATCGTGGTGTAAATATCTGATCTGCAGTTGGTCTTAGGTGACTAAGGGGTCATGACCCACAGGTTCAGAACCACTGTCTTAGCTTCTGTTTCAGGCCTCACTTCTCATCTTATTAATGAGGATGCATTTGAGACAGACCACGAAGGAGATCATGTCCATGCCAGAACATCGAGGAATAGTCCACATTCCACTGGCTGCGCATGGCTTTGTGTGGAGCACACAGTGCTTGGGGTCAGTGGGGAAGGCTGAAAAGGCTTGGCTCCACCTTTAGTCCCAGTGGTCACCCGAAGTTCTTAGAAGACCTAGAGGGGAAAGCAGGGTATAGGTCTCAGCTCACTGAAGTCTCTGTCGGGAAGACTGGCTTCCCTGCCAAACTGTGTGTTGGCCGTTTGTGAGCATGGGCAGGAAAACCAAACGCAGAAAAGAAACTGCGGCCCACTACCTGGTTGCTGATGCCACAACTGGAGGACTAAGTTGTATCTTAAGAGCACACTGGAAAAGCTGGGCAGTGGTGACACACGCCTTTAATTCCAGCACTCGTGAGGTAGAGGTAGGCGGATCTCTGAGTTCCAGGCCAACCTGGTCTAACCTAGCCAGGGTTACACAGTGGAACCTTGTCTCAAAAAACAAACCAAGACAAAACACCCCACCCACCCTGCACACACACACAAAAGAGTACATCATAAAATGATGATGACAAGGGACAGTTCACTGGATTATGTCAATTTTCAGGAAGAAAACAGCCCGGAGGCCATCAAGCTCATCACTTCACTTTTCTGATAAAAGCCTGCAGATAAAAGATTCGCCTAAGATCACAGAATGGTGACCTGATGGGCAGAGCCAAAGAGAATGCCGGGCTGATTCCTTTGATGACCGCCTTTCACTTCAGCCACAAACACTAAGGCCAGTGCACCTGGAACTTCCAACTGTGAGAACTGTTTCTTCTATGCCCATTCAGTAACTTCCTGCTCCAGTCCAGAAACTCCCTCTGCACCTTCATTTATGTAGTATGGTAGGAGACGTGTTTTTATTTAAATTTATGATTTGACAGCTTCCGCATGGAGATAAAGCAATCTGATGAGTCTCATTCCACCTTCTCTTGGCTCCTTCCCCCACCCTCCTCCCCCCTCTCTCTTCATTCTTCCCTCCTTCCCACGGACCTCCCCACATTGTGTCTTCTGGTTTTGTTCCATAAGCCACTGAGTTTAACTAAGACTGTCTGTGTGACCATGGATAGAAAAATAGAAATAGAAAAAATTTTAGAGTCTGGAATTTCTGTAACAAGATACAAATATTTTATATTCCCTGTTATTTTGCTGTGTCTACAATGTTTCTAGTGTCTACAAGAAATACAAATAAATTACGGACATGAGAGGATAGTGAAGTCTTATTCTTCCTTTTCCGAGGAATGACGAATGAAATAGGGTCCCGCCTTTACTGAAATAGTGACCTACAAGAGGAGAGGTGAGCAGAATGCACAGAGCGCAAACATACAATGGGGCTCGGTAAGGTTTGCCTACTGAATATGGTAGATACACAGGAAAGAGAACATTTCACTGTGACATAAAAGATACAAGCTAACAGAGATAGGAGGAAAGAGCATTCTCATTAGCATAAAGGTTGGAAGACAAGTCTGAATGCATCATGAAACGGCATATGGAAGGGGCCCGACAGCACGTGACCAGCTCTTCTATTGGCCACTTTCGAGACCTGGCACAGCATAATACTTCATTTTCAGTAGCTTTTGAAATAAGGCACTATGAATCAAACACAAAAGGCACAATGCCTGTTCTCATTTGGTCTCACCACATACTAGATGAGTTAAATAAAAGTTGGTTCTTCTGCTACACCACTGTGAGGCACACACCTGAAGAAACCAAAGTTGGTACACAGTAAAAACACCTGCCAACTCAGGTTCACTCAGTGCTATTCCCAGGAGCCACACATCAGAAGCAGCCTCGGTGCCTATTTCTAGGTATGGTTAAAGCAAAGGTGATATATATCATAAGTATACATTTTAGTTAGCCATAAAAAATGAGATTATGTTATTTGCAAGAGAATGGATGGAATAAACCAGAGTCCAAAAGACAAATACAACTTATTTTTCTCATATGCAGAATCTAGATTACTTTTAAAACTTACATAAAAGTAGAAGGGTGATGGGGAAGTACGTCTATGTATGTTTATCTTATTGATTGTTGAATAAAATACTGTTTGGCCAATGGCAAGCAAGGACTAGGAGTCAAAGAGGATTCTGGGAAATGTAGTAGAGAGGTGATGATCCAGGCAGGAAGTGACATGGCAAGGAGACTCATATCTAAGTGAGGAAACAGGAAGTGTGCCTCTTTTCCCCTCTGCTCCTGCTCCAGTGGCACAATGTGATCCACTGGCAATGAGGGACTCCAATGAGGCGTCCAATAAGATAAGTCTTATAAAATATATAGATTTATGATAATTAAGACTGAGCTAACAGATGAGGAATCCTAGTCATTGGCCAAGCAGCTTTGAACCTAATACAAGTTTCTGTGTATTCATTTGGGCCTTAACTCAGGTGGGCGGCGGGTGTAAAGCTCACACGTGGCAGTGGGGCTCAGGTGGCTTTTGGCGGAAAGATTTATGGTAACAGAAGGGGCTATTTGGGAGGAAGGACAGAGAAGTGGGAGGAAGACAGAGAAGGCAAAAGGGAATATGATCAAAGAACATTGTGTGCAGATACAAATGTCATGGCAGGGCCCATTATTTTGTACAATATTTGTTATTAATTTCTTTAAAGATTTTTAGCCCTAAAGTTTTGGCAGTAAATTTGGTCTAGGAAATGTACTTGCCTCGATAGACAGGTTCTCTGCCACTGAGCTGACTTGCCAGACAGTGCTTTATTTTATGGTTGGGAAATCTATTGTCCACTGGATGCATTTAACTGGGAGTCTTCGTCTTCGTCGGATTAACCCAACACTAAAGGTTCATTACTCCTAAGCAGCCACGTGGGGATTCCCAGGCACATTTAGGTCTTTCATGCATCAGGAAAGAAAGTCATGAAATAGGAGAGTCATAAAATTTAGGGGGCGGAAGCTTGTTCTGGCGCAACATGGATCTTCATGGCAGGATGTGACATGTGAGTGAGGCTACAACCTTGTCTACCAGATTAGACTGCTGGAAGTAAGGACATGTTTGGAGAAATAGCTTTGTCCACTTCTCTAACATAAAAAAAGTCTAGAAAATCCAAAGAAGGCTTGCTTCTCACAGTATGGCAATATTCTTGGGGCCTTTGCTGAGGGAACAAGAGAGGAAAGAGATTTATTAATTTAGGTCAATTATAACTCAGAATAAATAATCTTCTGTCTTCTTCCAGCAAGCCCCCAGAACCCAGCTTTTCTTGACTTTCCCAGTATGCTTTCTGGCTCAGATTTTGTGTCCCCAACATTTGGGGAACACAGAGCCTTTTGCATTAGTTACCTGGGGATTTGGGGTCTAGTCAAGGTTTGTCTCTAACACACCTGGAGATCTTGGGAGATGAGGGTTCGTTTTAACTGGGAGGTGTCAACCTTTGCCTCAGCCTTTACATTATCTCATCTACAAACCCCCAGCAGCCTGTCTCATCAGACTTAGGGATTGTCAGTAGACATGGCCACCTCTTCGCATTCCTGATTCTCAGTGAGAATCTCTGAACCGGATGATCAGAATGTATTTTGTATTCCCACCCCACTCCTAAGTTTTAGGATTCTACATTTAAATAGAAGCCTTGAAAAATAGACAGATGTAGTTATCCTTGTATACAACTTTTTTCTTTTTCAAGACAGGGTTTCTCTGTGGCTTTGGAGGCTGTCCTGGAACTAGATCTTGTAGACCAGGCTGGTCTCCAACTCACAGAGATCCGCCTGCTTCTGCCCCCCAAGTGCTGGGATTAAAGGCCTGCGCCACCACTGCCAGCTATAATTTAATATCCAGAAAGACATAAAAGAAGATGCGAACTGTAGTTTTCTCTGGAGAGAGAATATAGGAACCTGATGATGAAGACAATTATAGCGCTGGTTTTGTTGTTCATTTTTGTGCTACTGGCGATTGAGCCCAGGACTTTGCACATGCTAGGCAAGTACTCTACCACTGAGATATATTGCTAATTCTTCACTATTTAACACAGAGTTTCGCTATATGGCCCAAGCTAGAGTGGACTTTTGATCTGCTTGCCTCCGATTCCCAAGAGCTGAGAGTATAGGTATGGACCACCATGCTAGAATCCTTGGGGGAATTTCATTTGACTGCATATCACAGAGTCACCAAGGATGGGTTTTAATCACGTAAGCTTTTTTTTTTTTTTTTTTTTTTTTTTTAAATCTTTCTTCTAAATGAAACATTTTAGACAAGCTACTCAGTGCTGGTACATGGTTATGGTTATGGTTATGAGGATTGCTTCCTGTTCTATCTGGCTTTACCTGGCCTCAAGCTCACGGTTAGCACACTTCTGGGTGACACCCTGTGTTTCTGGCAGGGAAGCAGAAGGGCAAAGAGTATTGCCAGCTGGTTATGTAATGAGCTACCTGGAAGAATGCCTGGGCCACTGCTGAAGTCACAGCTCTGCTGCAGTGAGGGCTGCTGCTCCCCCTCGTCTGTGAGGGGCTGGGAAAGACGGTTGTCTTGTTAGCTTGCTACCATGCATGCTATGCATGTCCAATGCTAAATTAGGGTTTTATTGGTAGTATTTGAGAGATAGGGCACAGACCTGATGGTCCATAGTGTCTAACATACATTCTTTGTCTTTTCAAACAATTAATGTGGATAGAAGAAAGCCTTGGGAACAAAAGTCACAGCATGAGAGGAGGTGACCATGGGAACGTCGAAGTGGAAAACTCACTGGATTCCCATCACAAGCACACCAGGAAATAACCTGAAATGTCTTCTAAGGCCATACAGAGGATGAGAACAAAACACATGTATCTAAGGATCTAAGGGAATCTGCTAACCCTTGGAGGGAACGGCAAGAGCTGTACCTTTTAGTCATGTCCTGTCCTGTTCTCCCTCTGCTCATAAGCAAAGCTCCACTCCAGGCAGCAGGCTCTGCTCCACTGTTCATTGCTCTGGGCCATGTGAGGGCTAGGCCTTCAGCTAACAGTGTCTGGGGTTTTAGAGCTCTTTGGCTCATGACTTTTGCTTTGGTTCCATTCTCACAGATGAACCCATTTTAAAGATGACCTACTCAGTCCTTCTAGGGCCGGGAATCCCTGCTGCGACAGAAAACAGAATGGGATGAATAAATGAGGCATCGAGTTTAGGTGCTCTGTTTCCTGGGGGAAGTCGCTACCCTTCTCTTAGTATCCATTCCTCCACAGGGAGTAGGAGGGGACAGAGACAGAGAGAAACAGAAAGAGACAGAATCTGAACAAATAAAGATGACATCTCAAACTGTGATGAGACCTGCTGTCCCTAGACCCCTCCTCTGTCTTGTTCTCTTACTCCTTTTCTCCCCTTCTCTTGTTCTCTCTAGCTTTCTCCTTCTCTCCCTCCCTTTTCCTGTGAAGAGTGTTTACCACCTGAAACTCTCCAGAAGACGTGGAAGGTGTCACTTGGTACCCTCTGTTAGAGTTTACAATGCCCCTATTAAGGCAAGAGGACTTGGGGCAAGAATGTCCTGGTGGGAACCTAAGTAAGACTTATAGTTGGAGCAAATGGAAGCAATGGGACAATTTATACACACGTGAGAGCTTTGGCCAGAAGAGTGAGGACTTGCACCCTGAAAATGGGAGCACTTTTGTTTTCCCCCCAGTTTCTCTCCCTTTCCTGGGTGTGGAAGTACAGGAGGGATGTGACCTCCTGCCATGTGCCAGACCTCACTTGCCTTCCTGTGAACTCTGAGTTTCCCAGACTTCGGCCATTTGCCTAATGCGCACACCTGCTGTGCCCTTATTTGTTAAATAGTTTCTCTTAAATATTTTTTTTTTTCAACTTGAATATCCACTTGGAACCCATACTAACTATTGACATAAGAGAGTTTGTTTTGTTAGTTATTTGCTAAGGCATATGAAAATAATGGGAACGGAAGAGTATTCCCATCTGAAAGCTCAAGGTGTCACGATCTGGGATCCATCAGTGAGGATTCCTCCAGTCCTTGCAACTGTTCTCGGAGGTGGGGATCATTATTATCACCACACACAGGATGAAACTAAGTTTCTTTGAGAGACTGGGGAACTTTCCCAGGAATACAAAGGCATCAAAGACAGAGGAAGACTCAAAACTATTGTCCTCTAGAACTGTGCTCTTTTATTTCAGTTTGCCCTGTAATGGGGAGGGAGTGCAAGAAGAGGCTTACAAAAGCAGGGCCTTGTTCAGTACTCACCAAGACCCAAGCTCCATCTGTCCTTCCCTCCCTTGTAGACGCCTTGTGTCTGTCCCCTCAGCAGTCATGATGCCACCAAACCGAGGCTTTGATGTGTGTTTGTCAGGCAGTGGCTTTGTTTCTCAGCATCTCCCACTATGGCTATGGGCTGTTCAGAGTTGCTCGAAGCCTTCTTAATCTCACCCTTTCAGAGTCCCAACCCAGCTCCTCCTGAATGTTTGGTTCTTGCCTGGGCAAACACAAAACTTTGCCTTACATGGGGCCTTGAGAATCAGTTTGCTATCACAGTAGTAAGTTGTGGGCATTATTCTGGAACAAATGGAAAGTATTCTTGCAACTTCTCTTAATCCCCAACAGTACCTAGTTGCCTAGCACAAGTGACTCACTTGGTTGATAAACAAAAGAAGGATTCCCTGCCACCTACCCTTTGGCCCCTTCACCTAGGTCTCCCTCCCAAGCACCTGGTCCATGAAATCCAAAGAACATCAAAGGGTCATGTGAAGGCCTGGCCTTGGCTTACCTCTCTGCTATGGTCTTCCCTGATAACAGCTATGTCTGAAGCAGCAGAGACAGGGAAGGGTGTAGAAGAACGTGTGTAATGAGCAGAGAACTGAGTTTACTATGGGCCTAGAGCATGCCAACCACTGTTATCGATACTTGAGTCTGTTACCTTATTTAGCACCATCAATAGCTCCCAGCAGGTAGGCATCGCAAAGCCCACCCTATAGATAAAATCCTGGGGAGAAACTTTAAGGGCCATGCCCAAGGCCACACAGCTATTAAAGAGCAAAATGAAGATCTGAACCTGGGTCCATCTAACTCTAAAGTCCACAGACTCTATGACCTCCAGATGAGAGAGAATGGTTTACAAAAGCATTTCAGGGTTATCTAATCCAGTGCTTGCAAAATTGTATGCTCTAGAACACCAGTTTTTTTTTTAGATCTGAAGAGGAAGAGGCCAACAATTGTTGGGGAAATTTGGTTAAAACACAATCAGATGTTTTCATTGTAGGATTTTTGAGTCTTTATGAAGTCCATGTGAGTCTCCAAAGGTGCAGCATGTCTCATGGTCTACATCACCCAAGGGCATTGTTTATATGTGAAACAATGCGCGTGCACACACACACACACACACACACACACACACACACACACACACACAGAGAATAGTTTGGAAAATGCTCTTCCTTCACACCCCTTTGGGTATAAGGAGGAAGGAAGAGGTGTGCCCAAGTAACAAGATAACCCAAAGTGAGGTGTTTCACGCACATCACAGCCTCATTTCTGTTCTGCTAGCCTGTTTCCAAAGATGACGCTCAGTTTGTTGGTCATTAAGAAGAAGATACACCTGCCAGTCACCATGGTAAACAAGACACGATAGCAACCTTACAGCAGTGTGTAGTTGGCATTGAGAAAGCCATGGCCTGGGGTTAGGAAAGCCCTCTATAGGGACGAGTGGGTAGATGTTTTCTGGTCCTGCAATGTGCCAACATGCCTTTTGGGAATCTGAGATGTGTTAGTGTTACTAACTCATCCATCACAAATAGCAAGCCATTGTCTGGTGTCAATCCCATCCTCAAAATTCCTTCTTGTACAATAATACAAGAAACAGTTGGCATGTGTGTACATTACTTTGGTTTCTGTTGACACTGTATAAAACCCTTCTGCAACGTGGTGGTGGTGGTGGTGGGGTTGGTACAGCACGATTCCTGGAGTGTCTAACCCCAGAACCATTACAGAATGTCAGGCAGAAAGAGATCTTGGTGACTCAGCAATCCAAACCCAGGCTGTAAATGAACAAGGAATACTGGAGGAACAGGACTTGCTGTGGTCTCCTGGTCTTGGAGACCCAGCTGGCTGGTGTACCTGCTGTACTCACTAGCCTGCCGTTTATGTTCAGTGTGACAGCTAAGCCATTTGAAGTGGAAAGTCAAAATCCTTCTACATATACGTAACTGCGCTTTTGGGTGGGTTACTCTTGGTCTCCGGGTCTGTTTTCTTACTACAAGAAGCAGAAAGTTGGATTTGAACTTTCCCCTGGCTGCAAATTTCTGTGTCTTCCACTGGAGAGGCCATCTAGTCAAAGACCGTTTGTCAATCTACAGATGCTTCACATTGCCACCCATCTTGTCCACTTACTGGCCTTATGTTCTCTGATTGTATGTTCAGTACTCTGAGGTCTCAGATGGGTGGGACTTACTGCTGGGAAAGCACGCATTAAAGCTAACATGCTGGGACAAGAGCACAGACATGGGATAGTCGCCATTAGCTGTCATGAGGTTCTTCAGTGTCTGTTGGCGTTTCTGAGTCTTGACTCAGAAAGGCATTAACTATTTCTTTTTCTTCTCTTTTGTCTCTTTCAGATGCTGGATGGAGCCTACGTATGCTTTTTCTGGTACTTGGGGCATCTACAATCTCTCTCTAAAACTCGCCTCCCTCCCATATGTCTGTGTGCTCACCATGTTGCTGGTCTCCATGCCTACTCAACTCAAACAGGCACACTTGGGTTTTTTTTTTTTTCCCCTTCTCCATTCTCCTCCTCCAGGCAATGTTGAGATTTTGAGATTTGCAGCTTGCCTGCCCTGGAAGTTTTCTTTTAAACTCTGATAAGATTGTTTTCTTTGAATAAATTTTGGGTTTTCCTAACTTAAAAAAATTAAAAGTGAGGGGTGGCTTGGTGGGGTGTCTGTGCAGCCTGAAAGTAGGAAGGGAGTCAGCTGACCCCAAAGGTTTCTCAGGGAATCCCTTGCTCTGCAGGTCCTAAAGTTGCAGGGTAGAATAAGACACTCAGCAACAGCACTAAAGGTTGGCTTGACAACCTAGCACTGACCTCAGCAGGTCTTTCATTCTCCCTGATTTGGGGACAATAAAATTTTAAAGGAATGGTTCCAGAGGAAGTACCTCCTCAGATCAGAACATCCCTGGGGTCCAGCCTTCAAGCCTCATCTGTGTCCGGGAAGGTGTTCCTGGTGTTGGTGGGTCTGGAATCCCAGCTGGTTTTCACAGCTATTTTCTGCCAGGATAGTCTGTGGTTAGTCATTGACCACCTGGTGCACTGAAGGGCTTCGCCTTGGTTGAGATGAGCTCTAGTCTGGGCTTAGCATAAAGCAGCGCTTTGTAGAAGTCAGAAAAAGGAAATGGTGTTTCACAGGATGGATTTGCTAGCACTGAAGACAGATGCAGGTTCAGTTACAACAGCATCAGCATCATCAGCATCATCAGCATCAGCATCATCACCATCATCACCATCATCACCATCAGCAGCAGCAGCGGCAGCAGTGGCAGCAATGTTTTAGAGATGTTGGCTATCTTGTCATTTTACATTCTCCTTCAATCTGGTGAGTGGAGTCCTGGGAAATGTCTAATAAGATTTCCTTGGCCTCTGGCAGAGACAACCCATTAGTACTTGAATTCTTCCCCAAAAGAAAAACAATGTGAACACCTCTCCCAAAACATTTGCATTTATGGTAGCCACATTCTCCCCTCACCCCTGACTCTGTCATCCATTCCTCCTGGGATGTTTGGTAATAAAGACCTCTGCAGCCATGATTTTGAAAGAGAGCAAGGAAGGGTATATGGGAAGGCCTGGAGGGAGGAAAGGGAAGGGGGAAATGATGCAAGTTTATTATAATCTCAAAAACTTCATATTAACATACAAAATGAAGCCATTTCTTATTTCTGTCTTCAATACTGAAACTCCTGGAGAATAAATAAACGCTCTTTGTGGGGCCATCTGGCCCTCCCATCTGGGAGAGACATTAATACCAGGTGCTGCTTGGGGGATTTCCCACATGTTTATTTTCTGCTTTCTCCACCAAGCAGTTATTATTTTACATTTGTGATTGGTGGCTCATGGATTAGCTCTTCTGCTTTGATTTCTTGATGAGATAATTGGAAAGTTGGCTACTGTTCCCTATCATTTTCCACTCTGCCTTGGGCTACTTTGGAAGCCAATGCTAATTTGATATTTTTTATGGCTTTTCCAGGGGGAGTGAATAATGATTTAACTTGTAGCTATGCCAGTGATTAGGGACAACTACAGAGACCTTCGGTACTCTTGAGTCCCCGTTTCATGAAAAATCATACAGGAAAAGTGTAACTATATCCCCCGTGGAGCAGATTTTTCAAGAGAGAGATTAGACAGGATCCTCATAAGACTTGAGTTCAGAAAATACAGATCTCAGCCATGGTTCCCTCACTGAGACAAACCACACAGCCGCTTTGGGCCTCAGTTTTATTACCTGTAAAATGGAGATTGATTTGCTTACTCACTCAACAGGTATTTGTTTGCTGCCAATGCACAAACAAATAAGATTTCCCTCCTTCACCCACAGAACTGCTGCATTCATAGATCTGTGGGTCTGTGGAAAGGCTTTTCTAAAAAATAAGTCATGTTTCAAGTTAGCACCAAGAGTAATAGGTTCATTGTGCTATATTCATGCATTGCTCTTCTCAACCCCTCCTCCCTCTCTGCCTCTATTCCTCCCCCACTTTTTCTGACTCCCTCCCCAGCAGCCCTTCTCTGCCTTCATGTCACATAGATCCC